ATATCTACCATGATCAGCAAAATAACGTGGTTAAGACCATTATAGCTCTATCATGCACTTTTATACGGAACAACAGTCTTTATAATATTGTTACCTCAAGAGATTCACTGAAGCCAAGTTACTCTTTGTATCGCAAATAGACTCTCATTCAAGACAGATTACAGTCTTCATTTCGCCTGTGTCTCAGCGACACCTTAAACTTAAATCGATTGAGGATGGTACACATAAATGGGAGCAAGTTGCCTCTATGGCACTTAGTAGGTTCTCAACTAAGATCTATTCATTGTATAGAAAGCGCCAATAATGAATATGCTGATTCTTTCTCGTCGTTCATAAGGTATAGATTCTGTTTTATTTTTCTGAACTGATAGCTAATCAGTGCTTTCCTTTTCGCAGATAACTGATTTTCGATTAACTAAAATAATAGGTTCATTGCCAATTTGCCCGTTCTTAGTATATAAAAAGTGTCTTGATATCAAACGCTTAAGCATATTTTATTTTAAATATAGTTTTGTCACTTAAAAAATAATTGCAAGTTGTCAAAAAATGCGCTGAAGCGATAATAATAATAATATAGTAAATTAATCGATCAAGCAGTATGTACCTTTATCTAATAGGCAAACTATTCGAAGTTAATATACGCTAAAGGAACACTAGTTAAGAACATTTAGCGAATTTATTAGATCTTCTTGAAGATCATTTCACGTTCTTAGACAGTCATATATGTTTTGATTAGGCTTATTTATTCACAAGCCTTATCTCCTAATAAACCATACATTTTCATGGCTAATTCAATGGAAGCAAAAAATGCATATTACTTTTACTCATTAGATCTGGCCATGAATTAACCATTATGACCAACATAAGGAAAAATATCTAATATTCGGCACTTTAACAGTATATTGGAAGTGTTATTTTAATCTGCATACGTGCTGCTAAGTTCAGAATTTTTGTTACCCGAAACTTTGCAACCAGAAATTACCTGGCTAATTGCGCGATTCATTAGATAATACTTGAATTTTTTAATGGTGTAATTTAAATCTTCATTAATCCATTATCGTAATCAAAAATAAAAGAGATAAAATACTATGTCGAAATCTTTGAATGCGAATAATGTCATACTGCCATGTCAGCACAAACAGCAGATCCATCGTAGATGTTGGAGGTCTCACGATATGGGCTATCTGTGCCACTGACGTCGTGATGATCTCGGCTAATTACTAGTGGCCCTTTCAGTTGTCCTTCAGATACAGCACGGTTGAAAGCCATGGCTATAGAGATACGTCCAGCTTCATCAGAATAAAGAATTCTTGCCTAAATTAGAGAGTGTAATAGGTATTTAGGCCAAAGTTTACTTTTCTGAAATATTATTTTGGTGATGCACTAAAATCAAAAATCAAAATCTTAATAATAGCTTTCCCAATAAATGATATTTTGATAA